ATATATATATGGGGCATTCAGCTTTGTTCGGGTATTTTCCCATGTCATTGTAGTTGTGCTTTTAAAGTTGTAGCAACGTTTCGGCAGAATCTCATCTGCCATCATCAAGCTTCTTCTATACAGCTGAATGCCATACATGTAAGTACCCGTGAAAACTTAAGAATATATGTGTGTGTGTGTGTGTGTGTATTTCAGTTAAACTTGTAACTGATGTCATGGTTGCATCTGCATTTTTCAGCAACTCCGTATCCTGGTGGATTCAAATGTTTTACCTGTGAACAAGCAGTTGATAACTACGAATGCAACCAGTGGGCTCCAGATGTGTACTGTCCAAGAGGTAAATCAGCTGTATGTTGCCAGAAACGCAGTGAATATGGATCACTTCTGATGATATTTTAAATGTCCCATGCAGACTGTTAGCATCAGTCTATCTAGCTTTTCATCTATCAGCTTGGAAAGTTGTGTGACCTGATCCCGCTGATATAGATGTCCTTATGCTTGTAGACCAAGGGTCTTCAAACTTGGCAACTTTAACACTTGTGCACTTCAACTCCCAGAATTCCTGAGCTAACATGACTGAAGGAGGAATTCTGGGAATTGAAGTCCACAAGTCTTAAAGCTGTCAGGTTTGAAGATCCCTGTTGTAGACATAGTTGTAGGCAGATGAGGTACTATAATCACTTCATGTGAACAAGACTCCCTGGACATATATAAGACCGTTGATATGTTGCTATACTCTACATAGCCATAGTATTGTATTAGGAGTTTTTCAAGAATAGTAGTAGCTTTTTTGATGCAAGCCAATGTAAAACTTTTTAACATGAAAAAATGTTTTTTGTATCTAATTGCTAGAACATCTTGCTGTAAATGCAGAACTTTCCTACATACATACAGAATGAAGTGAGTTTAAATTGTTTTTAAAAGAGGGATAGAAAAAATATTCTATTTTTATAAACACACTTATAATTATGAAATGATTGCAATGTTTTCTCTCTCCTCTCCTCTCCTCTCCTCTCCTCTCCTCTCCTCCCTCTCTCTCTCTCCCCCCCCCCCCCAAATAAATAAATCTTGACTCCTTTTGACTTCATGGACACATATGTGCAATTTCCATGGGAGCAGGGGTGATTTTGACTTTGTCTTCTAGCCTGCAGCCTTGAGGTTTCTTAGTGGCTTCCCAGCTGCATTAATCAGATCCTGTTCAGTAATTTTTAAAGTTCGTCTCTGAGTTGGATGCTGGTACTTACTGTGATATCTTCTGTAAAGATAGCCAACTTTGATTTCTGGTGCAGTTTTCTTGATAACAGCATGATTTGCTATCGCCTTTCAGGACATTGTTTTCCCACCTAGTTTGTACCCCTGGTACTGCTGTACACAACTAAATTACACTAGAGATAAAACTTCCTATTTCTCTTGCTAGCAACAAGATATTGCTATTCTCAACATACCCTGGAAGCCAATGGAAAGAGTGTATCAGTCACCAAGAGATGCGTGCCACTGGAAGATTGTTTGACTACGGGATGCATCGCTCTCCAGCATAAAGGACTCAAGGTAAAGAGAACGGATGAAATAAATTGGTGCGTTGTTTCTTTTTTGTACATTATGAGAAACTGTTTCACGGACATAACTTGGAAGTTAGTTGCTTTGTTTGGAATTGTAATTGTCTCTGTAATTCTCGAAATGAGAAAAGTTTAAATGAAAGAAATCGTTGGAGTTAAGGACATGACCAGTGCTGATGTCTTGTAGTGGAGAAGATAGGTTTACTAAAAACCCTGGGTGAATGCTGATGATTACCAAGAGGAATCAATTGGAGAGGTGAGAAAATGGAAGTTTTCAACTCAAAAACAGATGCAGCCAACATATGTTACCCAGGGGATGTTACTAACAAATAGCCTGGACATACAGTAGAGCAATAACAATAGCACTTAGACTTATATACTGCTTCACAGTGTTTTACAGCCCTCTTTAAGCCGTCTACAGAGTCAACCTATTGCCCCCAACAATCTGGGTCCTCATTTTACCAACCTTGGAAGGATGGAAGGCTGAGTCAACCTTGAGATGCTCAGAATTGAACTCCTGGAGTGAGCAGTGAGTTAGCCCTGCAGCACTGCATTCTAACCACTGCGCCACCGTGGCAATAAGTTACTGTTTTCAGATAAGTCTCCTGAACTAATTCATGTGGATAGAATAATCCACATAAAATATTCCTCACATTCAACATGGTTATTAGAGTAACTTTTCTGGAGTTCTGAAAAGATTGTTGGTTTCTCTGAAGTTGATTTTAAGGAGCACTTTAGAAAATGGAAACATAAATAAAAGTTAGCATAGAGATAGAAATAAGAGGGGAATAACAGTATTCACATTTTAACATAACAAGATATATGTAAATAATAAGATGGAAGATTAGAAATTGAATGGCAGTAGTATTAGGTATGTTTAAACAATATGAAACAATGAAAATGAAATGTAATAGCTGTGAGTAATAATATTATGTTTACTTGTACTAACATGTATGATACCCAGTGATATGTATATGTAATATAAAATAAAAAACTTGACCAAAAAAAGAAAAAGAAAATGGAAATACCAGCCATTGCTACAAAATTGATATAAGAACATTTATAACAAGTCAGAATGTAATATTCTTTCATTTTGTATGCATGCTTCCAGTTAAGTCTCTTTTTTTTCTCTTTCCCTTCCTGTGATTTAGAAGTTGATAATAATAGGGGAAAATGTTCCTTCTTCATCCAGGAATATAAATGACAATTAATAGATGGAGGTGGTTTTATGGTATGCTTAATGCTTTGAGGGAAGACATTCTATCAGAATTTAAAGTAGCTTCTCTGGTATCATATCATAAATGTATTACCTTTTTTTCCTGTCAAGTTTTAAAATATATAAAGTCAATAATTCATGATTTGATGATATGAAGTAGGAGGGTAATTGCCCATCCTCGCATGGTAGCCAATTACAAAGGATAGTTCACCAAAGTTATATATCTGTTAAAAGTTAACTGCACCTTCTAATCAAACATGTATAGCCAAGCTGCCCCCCCCCCCAAATTAAACAGTTTCTGGTTGGTTAAGCAAAATTTAATTGCAGCTATAATATGAAGATGGGCCTTGATACTTTTTTAAAAAAATCATCAATTATCCTTTCAAATGTCCTTCATCTTTACAGCAACCCTGCTTTTGGAGCTACGTGGTGTATGTATGTATGTATGTATGTATGTATGTATGTATGTATGTATGTATGTGTAAAGATAGATAGATAGATAGATAGATAGATAGATAGATAGATAGATAGATAGATAGATAGATATAAAAGGGGCATTTCTCTACACCAGACCAGAGCGGTTTTAGACAGCAGTAGCAGCAAACTTTAGGGTATAATGTGTAACTTGCATCCGACAGTGAAATTTCTATCAGATGTGAGAAAAAATGATTTAAGTGTCTTTTCTTTTTTTCAGGTATGCACTTCTTGTTGTGAAGGAAACATCTGCAACTTGACATTACCTAGGAATTCAAGCGATGCCATATTTTCAACAACAACACCTATAAATCATACGCAGAGACATTGGCAAGATGCATCTGTAATAATGTTAGGTCTCCTGTCTCTCTTTGCTACGTAGTCCTTTTTGGATAAATTACCAACTAAACATCAAGGAAATCCAATGGGATGAAAATATTTATGCACACAAATGTGACCTTAATTTAATATATGTTTTTCAATGCTTTCTTCTTCTTTTAGTGACATTTTAAAACGATCCTTTGAATTCCTTTTAGCCTTGGCTGACTCAAAAGCCATACTTTCTGGATCTGTGTCTTTAAAAAAAGGAGGGACTTTTGTTATAAGTTGAATGTTCTGAAGGAAATTTTTTGTATAGCCATTAAAAATGGATGTTTTTTTTTAAACTATTCTTTAGTCTAGTGAAAGGAGTATTTCTAGAAATTGCATACTTTGAATTATACCAATTGAAAACCAGGGTTTCAAAATAACACTATTCTGCTATGCAAGAAAGGATTCTAGATGATTGTCTTACAGCATCAAATCAATCTTAGCTTGATCATTCAATTGGATTAGATCTTGATTTAGTAGTCTATATATATCGCTAGACGAGTGGTGCAATGGCCTAGAGGAAGTGGATCTCTTGCCTCACAATCAGAAGGCTGTGAGTTTGATCCTAAGTAGAGGCAGATATTTCTCTCTCTGGGCACAATGAGAATATATCTGCTTAACAAAACTCTGCATTGGCGACAGGAAAGGCATCCGGCCAGTAAACACTTAGTTCCATTCAGTTGCCTAGACTCCACCCCGCAAGGGATTATGGGGTTGTTAAAAGGAGATGATATTAGTATATCGCTAGACATAGTGAAATCACAGGTGAAGTCTCCATGATATTAATAGGACCTATGCTATGACTAGATTTAATCCCTATCTTTTAACTATAGGAGATCAATACCCATTGGAGAAAAATCATGGTCGTGAGTTTTAAGCAGGCATGTGGTTATTCCCCTGAATGTACAAAGATGACAAATGATTTTTCTAAAATGTACTTTAATCTGATAAAAAAAAGAAAAAGAAAACTCAAATGCCTAAGGAGATTTCAAATAGTCTATTCAAATAGTCAGGCCGATTATTTAAAAGTTTTATTTTTTTATTTAATCTAACCAATTAATATAATAATAAGTCTGTAATTCTGTGCCCGGTTGCTGAGAGTAAAGCCCACTGCACTCAATTCTGTGAGATTGCCAAATTATTCATATGTACTTGGAGTAAATACTGTGGGAATCCCTGCCATTTACTGTTGAACAAAAACAGGCCTGCGCATGGGGCCAGGCCTATGTCTGACGTGCTTACCCAAGCTTGCCTTTAATTATTTGCTCTGCATGCATGCCCTCTTCGTTTCCTTTGCGAAGCTCTACATGTGCATCAGAACCTTGTTGGAGATGTCTGGGCTATAATAAAAATAGGCACATTTCAATAAGAGGTTCCTGCAACAACTGTAATAAGGATTTCAACTTGATCAGAGCTTGTGGTACAGAGATTTATTGTGGATGAATGAGTGGTGTGGTGGCCTAGAGGTGGAGCTCTCGCCTCACAACCAGGAGGCTGTGAATTCGATCCTAGTTAGCGGCAGATATTTTTCTCTCTGGGCACAATGAAAGTATATCTGCTGCGAACTCAGCATTGGTGACAGGAAGGGCATCCGGCCAGTAAACACTTGGCTCCATTCAGTTGCCCCGACTTCACCCTGATGCAAGGGATTACAGGGTCATTAAAAAACAAAAAAAAAATTTTGTGGATGAATGGCTTCATTGAAGAAGAACTATTTCAAATTCCACACTCCATTTGTGCCATCCAACATGGTTTATTCTACATAGTAGGTTGCAATATTTGTATTTGTATAATATAGGGGTGTCAAACTGGCAGCCTGCAGGCCAGATGCATCACGTACAGGCCACGCCCACCCCAGCTCCGCGAATGGAGAAAACATTGCGAAACCTCACGCGATGGCAAAGTGATGTGGTGAGTTTGAGACACACACCCAAGCCGATTTTTAATGAACTTTTTTGTGGTGATAACTAAATGAATCACCATGGTCATTAAGCAAATCTGCAATTGTCAAGCAATCGCGGTAGTTGTTAAGCAAACACATTATTCGTTATGGGGCATTTTTGCCGAAAACCAGATGTAAACTGGAAGTCAACCCCGGTTTTCAGCAAAAACTTAATTTGTGGTCATGTGACCGTGAGGTGCTGGAAACAACTCTCAAAGCTGACTAGTTGCTAAGCACCTGAAATGTGATCACATGACTATGGGGAGGGGCAGCCATCTTTGAAATTGGGTCATAAGTATCTTTTGGGGAAATCTGTCATCACTTTGGTCTTTAAGCAACCAGTCTTAAGTCAAGGACGACATGTATGAGCAGTGCTGCTGTTGCTGTTTCTGTCATGACTGGTCCGCTTTCCGATCAGCACAGATCTGTGTTGCAAAGTGGAGGAAAGGGGAAGAAAAGAAAGGAAAAGAAACTTTAGCTTTACATGGTCCGGGCAGATTTTTGTTTTTAAAAACAACAATCAATCATCCATTAAATCCTTAAAGTTATATAGAACAGCCGTTTTGTGTTAATGTGAATGAAATGATTATTATTTTTTTTAAAAACAAATTTTATTTTCAAGACAAACAATACATAAATACACATAAACACAAAAATATAATAACATAAAAAATCTCTTTTCTGAAAGTTGCTTAGTCCCGGGTTAAAACTCTTGGTACAGACACAAATTCAAATTCATATTCATTTCATATCTTATTAACATTTTCAATTTTCTATATGACTTCTCCTCTCCTTTAAATTTTCTCAATTTTATTTTATTTTATTTATCTCCTCTCAATTCATATGATAATATTTATTATTCTTTGTCTGTTCTATTCCAGCCAACCATTTATTTTTCTTCTTTAAAGAAAGAAGAAAGACTTCTCCTGTACACTATATGGAGTATGATGCCTTTATCTCTTTCCCCACTTAATATAAAACACATGACATACATTGGGATTCTGTCTGGTACATTCTAAAATTATACTATATTATCAAAAGTAATACAAATCTATTCATTAATATTGATATTCATTCATATCTTAAACGTTTAACTCATTGCTTTTCAATTAAATCACATACTTTTGTGGGAGTCCTATTTTCCATAATTATTCCCCCCCCCCACATCACATATTATAGCTCGATATTTCATTAAAATGTTCCTCCTTCTACTTCAAATCTCATTTCACAAAGAATTTCACTAATATACCATATTCTAATCATTAATATTAACAATCATTTATATCTTAAACATTTTATCCATTTCAATTAAATATCATGCCTTTGTGGGAACACTTATGCTTTCCAAAAATTATTCCCCCCCCCCACATCACAATCTTGAATCATATTTCATTACAGTACTCCCTTTTTCTTAACCAAAAATTTCACTAATTTATATTAAATATTTTATCACATTTTAAGTTACATATTGTTTCTAATTTTCTATGATTACTTCTAAATACAGGTATAAAAATGCAGTCTTATGTACCTTTCTAGAATCCCTTTAACAATAAGATTTATCCATTATCTCTAAAAAACTTTTGCTTCTTAACATCTTGCTCCCCACCATTAGGGCTTCTCATCCCTTCCTTTCTCTCTTGCTTCTTCTTCTCCTTGTCCTCTTTAACCCCTTGTCTCTCCACCTCCCTTTTATTCTGCTTTCCCCCTTTCTGTTGTTTCTTAACATAATGTCCCCTTTTCACCTTATTCTTCTCTTTTTGGGCTGTTTTTCCAGATCTTAAAGACCTTTTTTCCTTTTTCTCTTGCTTTTTCCCTTCTCCAGTCAAAGTCATTTGTTCATCAAAGATGGCTTCTTCTTCTTCTTTGTCCCCATCATCCTCATTCTGCTTCACATAAGTATAAACCGCCATTTCTAAGTATTGAAAAATAGTGTCAAGACCATCTTCCCCTCCTTGTTTTTCTCTTTCATATTTTTGATATATAAGTTTCAATCCATCCATAGATGATGCCATTGTGTAGAGAAAAAGTTTTTCCAAACAACCACCCAGATGTTTTAATCAGAAGTAATTTCCAAAGGTTCCAAAATCACCAAACAATCCAAACAGACTATTTCTTTTAGATACCTTCTTCTTCTTCACTTTCTCTTTCTGGGGTTAAAGTAATCACAAATCCTTTTCAAATATATATTTTTTGGAAGTTTTTTAATGTTTAAGAACTCTTTGCAATTCTAGGCAATCTTCTCCTTATTTTCAATTTTTGCTCTAATTTTTTTCACTCTCCCTTCCCACTCACAGCCAAAAAGGTTTTTGTTTTTTTTCCGCTGTCACTTTAGGAAGGAGAGTAGAACAAAGAAAAAACTTTCCCCTTTAGAGTATTCGCAGCTTGTAACTCTCACAAGGAATAATATATACTTAGCAGCCTTCAAGGTTCCAGGTCACTTTCTCCCATCTTGTCCCGGTTAGAAGCAACTTTCACTGTTCTTCCAGCTTTCTCCCTCCTGCACCTGCTTTCCCGGCTGCAGCTTTCTTCGTGGCGGCCATTGCTGACCGCCGTTCCTCCGCCTCGAGAAAAGGGGGTTTAGCCGGCTGGGGAGGGGGTTTGCGGCACCCCCAAACCCCTTGCCGGATCCCCCCTGTCTTCAGCTGCCTCTACGGGGCAGCTATATCCCCCAGATCCAAATGGATCGGGGGAACCTTGGCGGCGAACGCAGCAGGGATCGCGCGGTCGCGAATCCCTGCCGCCGCTGAAAGCTTGCAAACCGGAAGTTTTCGTGAATGAAATGATTATTGAAGCTTCACGGATTACTGTCTGGTCTTTATTAAAGCAAACCACCCTTTTCACGTTTTTTGCAAGAGCCTGAAAAATGGTGTGGCCACTTTAAGAAATCCACCTATTAACTCAATGGAGCTTTTACGCAGCTGCATCTGTTTTCAGCTTTGTGCAGAATCTTGAAGAAAGTCTGATTCCTTTAATGAAGAGCTGCGAAGTGCCATGCTAGCACAAGGCCCAAAGCACTCCATTTTAAAATCTTGCACAGCCCAGTTATGTAATACGGTTCTGTTAAATATCTGACTTGCCTCCCCAAGTAAAAGCAAAGGGATGTCTCAAAGATGTCTGTGCTTTTCATGTAAGGTCTGATAAAATAAAAGGATTTCCAAATGAGAGAAGAATGGTTTTTCAAACCAGTTTGAGAACAGCCCT